AATCGAGTCTCACTATCAAACAATGTGTCCATTCCTTGGACTAGATGAATTGCTTCCAGTGTTGTGCGCGTTTATTTAAACTATTGTGTATATGAGGATGTTTCGGTCTTATACTTTTAAAATTAAAATATTACTTTTCAAAATCACACAAACACACAAATATATATATAGATCTATATAATATTTTTCCATAAATACAAAAACTCCATGTTTGACATTTTTCCATAAACACAAAAACTCCATGTTTGGCGACCGACAACATCCCTTAATTTATTTACTACACTTTTAATACCTTAACTTATAATATTTTCTTACCCATGCATGTGTCACTTTACCTGCAAAACGAAATAACAAAAATACATTTTTAAAAATAATAATACACCTTCAAACCATTGAGCGCACTTAACCTACTCCTTTTGGTTCACGAGAATCTTTCGAATTAGGTAACCTACGGCTGCTAACGAGAATTCTTTAATCTAAATAAGTTCAATCGCTTGTTTAGACTAAGTAAATTCAAGAGAAAATAGTGATGACGGGACAAAAAACTGTGGGATCTTGAACGGTGTCGTTTAACTTAAATTAAAATTCCCCCAAACATTAAAACAATAATGATAAATAAAACCAAAACTAAGGAATTAAGGTTTGACTGACAGAACGTGATATCCAAACTTTAGTGTTTATTTCTAAAGACAATCAAGAAACATGTCAGTGACAAGATCCTTTATGGGTCATAAAGGTTGCCTCAAAAGCGAGTCCCTCCAGAGACGACAACCCAATTTAACTGGATTAACAAACTATCTCAGTCAGTTGGACAATGCGACAGACCAACTCGTAAGATTAGCACATAATAAATAAAATCAGACACAATCTAAAACAAAGCAAAGACTAACATGTTTTTCTCATATATCCTAAGAAGAATAATAAACGACTTTCTTTTGATTAATTAAGAAAAATTTGCAAGTCATTTTTTGCAGAAGGACCTTAGCGAGCAAACGATCAATCATCGCTTCTTGAACCGTCCTCATCTTTAGAATACTCTTTCAACTTGTCTGGAATTAGGGTGAAGAACTCATTTGCATCAGAAAATTTGGGATTGATCAGACCATGATGGATGAAATTCTGGACAACAAACTCGACCCCACTTCGAACATGTCCCTCCAATTCAATTCTCCTTTGGCACCGATGAAACAACTTTCCTTTTCAACTCCTTGACCTCTCCCTTTAGATCTTCTATAGTCACAAGAGTCTTATCATGTCTCTCGAAAGAATTGTCAGATCTAAGTTGCAGGAGGTCTTGATTTCCACGCATCCTCCGCAGCTCCACTTGTAGAAAGGCAACTTTCTTTTGAGCCATGTCCAGAAATCTGGCCAAAATTGGAAATGTGACTTGCGAAGCTATTAAGTGAAATCGGTCTACACTCAAACCAAGCTCTCAGCGGCTAAGACACTTTAAGGACTTGTCTAACCCCTTGGATCACAACAAAACTAATAAAAGTGAGGGTGTGCCCATGTTCTCGGTTGTGTGGGGAAACCAATCTCTCAACATGTCCAAGAGACCGAATCGCCTAATGGAATCAAACCACATCCACTCATCTTCCCCGAGTACCAGATGCCACTCAGAAGCCTCCTTGCTCATCTTCAACATAGAGGGAGGAGGAACGTATGTTTCCTCCATCGAAACTTTTCCCCACTGACGAATAGTTTCTCTATACAGAGGAGGTAGAGTTTTTTTAACCTGAAGACAAGACCACTACTTATGAAGATGACACAAGTGAGACTGAGAAAATAAGTCGACCGAACCTTGCCCTCTTAGATTGGGTAATAAACGGGAACCACCAACTCAGAAACCTTATGGAACCACTATGGTTGGTCACGTGTTGATTGACGAACTGGATCTTGAATAGGAAGGAGCTGCAGCTGAAGCTTCATATGGAGTTCCTTCAAAAGCCGAGTATCCACCGTCACCTTCCTTTGCATCAGAAAAATGAGAAGTAGGTTTCTAAGCAATAATATTAACCGTGTTGGTCACCATATCTTGAATAAAAATGGTTTTTTCATACATGAAGGAAAGATATCTCGAGGCCACGCTATACGGGAGTCGGTCCTCATCCTCGATGGGATTATCTGTCGTCGGGAGACGCTTCTACTTATAATGCTTGGTGGCTAGCTTCACATTCACCGCCTTGGCCCTGTGCTCCTCATCAATATCTGAGAAACGCCACTGCTCCTCAATCATTTTTCCTTGCAACATTCAGATGATCGTCGCCTCGGTTGTGTACTGCAGGATTGAGATGTGTCGAGCGGTCAACATCACCTCGGCAATGTTCATGCTCTCCGGAAAAGACACCACCATTGTTCTCGTTAGCTCCGATTGTTTGGTCTAAATCTCTAATCACTGAAGCAGGAGCCAGGCATAAATTTCTTTCGCCAATAGTTTATCTTATTTTCAACCCGAACAATCGGTGTTTCTTACTAGTGGAGAATATTGTGAAACATTTCTTATCAACCTTGAATGTATAAAAATAATTAAACAAGTTAATCGACCACGAGACCTTCTCTCAATGATAGAAAAGGAAGGAATTCATTATCACAGCTATAGAATTTGGCAACACCTGAGTCAGACTGACCCTTAAGTATTAAGGATGCTCCGGAGTTTGTCGCATAAGGGAAATTGGAGACCGTACTTGAAATAGTCCCAAAAGAAGACCAGATATTTGCCCACATTATCTGTGGCACGTGTCGATCCAGGAATTGGTCGAAGGACAATGTTGCAATACAAGATGTACCTTCTATGCAACTCCTCCAAGTTGTTCTTTGGCAAAAACGAAGGATCAGCGCCCCTGACGGAACCAAAGAGGGTGGGAGAGCACATAAGAGTCATTGTAAAATGGAAAATAAAAAAGAAAAAGACAATCTGGAGGCAAAAGAAGAAGAAGAAATGTCGAGAGACACAATAAAAATCTAGAAATCTTAAAGCGCAAAAAAAGGAGTCTCTCACCCTATTTTTAGGACGACTGCATGAAACGAGGCATCACAAAATAAGGCCTCACATAATGATGAGTGTTACATTAAACTTCTTTTGAAATTTTTTTAAATATCATTTTAACTAATATTATTACAAATCTCGAATGAAGTGTTTCATAAACAGATCTTCTCAGGCTTCGGTCAAGACATACCCTTTTTGAATCACCATCGAAGGACTAACTTTCTGCTTAGCCTCATGTGATCCACCCAATTGGCAACACGCTGAAACTTGATCAGGGCGAACGACTCACAGAGTGCTCCTAGCTCACAACCCACACCCGCCAGCCCACTATGCAAAGCGGCTACCTTTGTCTCAGAGCCGTCACCTCTGAATCTGTAGTGGTCAATCGAGCTGACAACTCCCGCACAAGATCTATACTCATGCCTCTGAACGCTCCCTTAGAAGAGCCAACCAGCACTGCCAAAGGTCCAGTCTTGTCCACTTGTTGCTTCGTGAATTCAGGTAAAGGCGGCTGCCACCCTAGTCGCTCTTGTTGGTGGCCCGTTGTGGGCAAAGAGGCAGACAATTGGTATTCCACTTGATCAATTGATGGCAGAAGCTCAACGTATTTGACCTGCAGACTGGCCACTGCAGAGGGTGCAAACTCCACAACATCCTTCGAAGGCCCACCATCTTTGCTGCCCTCCTACCCGATTAATTCATCTGCATCCATGATAATGTTGCAGGGTTGTTAAAAAATCACCAACAATGAAAGAAAATTTTTGCATACCTAAAATTATACTCATTTCAGAAAGGGCTCTTGAGAACTTTTCACTCGCTTGCGATAAGGTACCTCTTTCTAAGGCAAAGGCTTAAAAGAGCAGATGAATACCGCTCCCTCGAGTGCCTTTTCTCCAACTTTTGTATCTTCACTAGTCAGTCTTGCTAGCCCTCAACGATCGTGCTTACATTAGGCTCAAATGCCAGAGCCTTTTGAGAATGCTTTTTACACACTGTCCTTTTGCACCGTCTGACAAGTCAACTAGATTGACCAATAAAGGTTCTAGTTTTGACAGTTTATCTTTCTTCAAGTTCTTTTTTTTTCTTCACAGAGGCAGGGATCCAAAAGTCGGCAAAAACCAAGATTTCGAGATTCAACTCGCTCCGACTCGTACCCTAGCCATGAGAGCCCTTAATATTTTTTAGGATTGTTGACAGCAAAGAATGCTATGTCAACCCCATTATAGGTTGCATCAGGCGCGGAACCCAATGGGAAATCAATTACTCAATTAATTCTTTCAATTTATCTGTCATTGGTTGTTTAATAGTTTCTCTGTCCTTATCGTAGTTGTCACAATTAAGGGGTAAGAAAACTCAGGGAACTAATATGTATACACCAAAATTGCTAGCATGAATCTCAATGCAATCAAACAACTAAGAACAACAACCGAGAAATCGAAGCGACAAGTCAAGGGAGCACAATCTGAACTAGTCATTTGATGATCGACCACTCTATCAGATCGACGGACCCACATTATCAAGGGATTCAATCGACGCACTGCTCTTACAGTCCCAACTACCCAAGCTTTTTTCAGGGCCGCTCGATCACAACTAGTCGATCGATAAGCTTTACCTCGGCAGGAGCGATCGCCACACAATAGATCGCCTTGGTCGGCTGAACTAAATACATCAATCCGCTAATGACAGTTGTATTAAACTTTATTGACAACACAAATCTTATATTAAATTAATGCATTAAATGCATTAAGGCTGTTTTTCATAATTGTTATCTTCTTACGGTGATTAACAATAACTTCCATCATTGCTCACTCCTTTCTATAATTGTACAAAAAAAAATCTCCTATAAATAAGAGGCCCGTGGATGAATAAAGTGACTTTTTCCCCAACTCTTCTCACTCAAGAACTCTTTGCCGACTCAATCTCTTATTCCCCTTCTCCAATCCCCCCCCACCATATATATATATATATATATATATATATATATATATATATAATGAATTCGTTTGTTCGCTCAATTCGTATCATTTATATATATTAAAGATACGTGTTAGCGCTCACACCAGAAATTGCTCTTCCCTACTCTCAATTCTCTCTTACTGAATCATCTTCCCCACAGCAATGCCCGTCCTCCCTTACCTCTTTCCTTTCTCCATAACCTACGCCGTCCCATCACTGTCCTTCCATCCAGCCCACCGCTTCCTTTTTCCTCCACCCAGATCTTGCTCCTGCCATCTTACGATTGCAGGTAAGCAGCGTTTTGTTGTTGGCCAATCGTCGAACACCTCTAGCGCGCTTGTTTAATGCGTTACTTTTACTGGGTAGAACCAAAGAACTGGCGAGCTCTCGTCTCGACAGCCCTTGCTGCTGCTGTCATAAGCTTCGGGGGCGTTGGAACGATGCCTGCTATTGCGGAACTCAATAAGTTTGAGGCGGAGATGAGAGGTGAATTCGGGATCGGTTCTGCGGCGCAATTCGGGTCGGCGGATCTCAAGTAAGATTATTTGGGTTCAGATTGTGGTTATTTATGCGACTTGATGTTCTGCTTTCTTTGGCGCGGATGGATGATTTTGTTGGTTTCTGTTTCTCTTTTTTGTTTCGAGCAGGAAGGCAGTCCATGTAAATGAAAACTTCAGGTTTGTTCTTTTTTCCTTTGTATTCGTTTTATTCTGAATGGTATCTTACATTTGGCATTGCCCTGATCCTATACTTTCTTGGAGTTTTGTAAGTTATGTTGAATACTTAGTTGTCCGTGGATTCAGATCTCAACTTAAAAACTAGGGGAGGAAAAAGTGAGCTTGAAAGAAGAAATTGTAGGGGAAGTACTATATTATTTCCTTGAGTGTATAACTGGCTGCCCTGGAGTTATTTGACTATGCGCTTTAACCAGGTCCAGGAGATTTTGGCCATACATATTTAATTCTCTAATTTTATTACCTCTTCGAAAGACAACTATGAAAAGAATAAGAGAATAGTAAACAAACAATTATGTCTTGTTTGTCTCCATGAGACAAATGTATATTACCTGGTCCAAAAATTGAATTCGTTAGATATGTTATTATTTTTCATATACGAATCAAAATTAGTTAAGTAAAGATGAGTGAGGCATTTCACTATGTGCTGACTTTTTGTCTACTTGAGGGGTTCTTAGCTCTCATACAGGGAATTATCCTGGGAGCACTTTGGCTATACCTACATGATTTTTCTGGGAGCATTTTGGCTCTCCTTCAGGAAGTAGTCTCGTAGGTTGTCAGCTCATCTTTTTTGTTATATTATTTTTTCTTCAGATATTTGCTTGGTTGACTTTATAGCCTTATAGGACAAGTTCCCACAGTGTTATCAGGAAATTTAGTTTCTCTACTAGGAATTTCATCTTTTTTGAGCGATTAAATTGACCTTTTCCTAACAATATAACTCAGTTATAAAGGAATTTAGGCAGTTTTGTTAAATTCAAACTATCATTTTCCTCGGGTTCGTAGCTCTCTTGCAATGAATATTTCTTGTAATTTTTCAACTTTACCTAGGCTAATATCTTGTCGTCTTCAATCTCTATGGTAAACGACTCATCGCATAATTCTTTTCTCCTAGGTGGACTATTTTTCTGAAGCAGTTTTGGGGGAACTCTTCTGGGAGAGTTGCACTATGAAAGTTCTTCTGAGAGAGTTGTTTTGACAGAACTCTTTTGGGAGATCTATTCTAGGAGGGTAGTTTCGAAAGAACTCTCATAGTAGAGCTATTTTGGGAGAGCTGTTCTGAGAGAACTCTCCTATGAAAATTATTTTTCTGGATAAGTTCAGCTCTTGGAAGAATTCAACGCCTTGGAGTTGTGGTTGTGCCTCTTGATCTCGGCCATGTATGTTCCTTATTTTTTTTTTTGATACAACCATAAAATATATCTCTTGATTAATACTAGGGGAATTTAAATACATACCACATATTTTGTATGTATTTACCTATTTCATAAATTAATTATTACGTCACCCTAATGTCTAAGTAACATTAAAATGTAGCTAATGCTAAAATGCGTACTCAGATATGTTTTGCATGATTAGGTTTGAATAATAAGGCAATCATTCTAGTATCACTTGATCACATCAGTATTCATGTTGATCCCCGAATTATATTGATCACATCAATATTCATGACGATCCATCAAGTAAGCGGATTTTATGGCATTAATTTCAAAATTTTGTCCTATCATCCAATGTAGATTCTTATCAATATCAATTTCAAATCTATTAATATAGATCCAGTTGTTGATTTGATTATCCAACCATTCTAAAATGGGGCATAGGACTTCCAGTTGTGAAAAATGACGTTAATAAAGCGAAAAATGGAACGAAAAAATTGCACGTAGAAAAAACACCAGAGCGATACAGATTTACGTAATTCGACAAATTTGTCTAAGTCCACGGAGCTACAGAGAATTTTATTTCTTCGAGGAATCACACCGTCGAGCGCCTCGACGCTGACAAGAAAATCTATATTTTCTTCTCTCCCTTCCTCTCTCTCTCTCTCTTTTCCTCTATTTCTTTCTTAGAGGACTCGGCTTGTGGCTTCATGACAAGTCATAAGAGGCTATTTAGAGAAACTAGGAGAGTGGTAGGAGGTGGGAAGTAGGTGAGCGGTAGGTGGGTGTGGTAGGTGAGTGTGGTAGGTGGGTAGGTGGGAAGTAAGTGAGCTATAGGTGGGTGTGGTAGGTGAGCGGTATGTGAGATTCTTAATTAGAAAGCTAATTAAATTAAGGTAGATCAGGTCTCCACATTACCCAACAATTCTCCCACTTAGAGACTGGGACACTGACTGCATTTCTTACTGGTTGCATCATCTACTAGCTGTACCAACATTTTCCTCAAATATGATATCCTCCATCTCTACAACTCAAAGTCCTGTCTTCATGCCAGAAGATCAGCTGAAGTCGTGCACAACTTCAGCTTCTCACAAGTAACACTCTCAGTTGACATATCACCGTCAACGTAGTTTTGTAACATCAAGCTCTTTCTTGGGTTACTCTTGTATCTGCTAACAACTCCCACTGTATGGGCAATATCCTGTCTTAGTTGAAAGTTACTATTGAAAGCACTTTTCAACAAGTTCAGTCGTGTACCTCTTACTGCCATCAAACGCAGTTTTCACCCGATACACACACTTGTTGTGCAATGTCTTTTTTCTTGGTGGATGTTCTGCCAGCTCCCAAGCCTGATTCTCTGCAGGGAATCTGTCTCCTCCTTCTTGGTCAGCTCTCACTTGCTCGAATTCTCTTCTTGCAAGATTTCTTCATAGCTCTGTGGTTCTTCATCATTTGTCTGTATAAGGTATGGTTTTCCTGCCTTTGGCGCTCTCTCATTTTTCAGGAAACCGATATTCTTCTGCTTTCCCATAATGCACCTCTGACTCATGTGTCCTCGCCTGAGTAAACATGTAGTCATATATAGTGTGTTAGTTTTCTTACCCCAAGCCAATACTAATACTCCTTTGGTAACCTTCCAGGTGTTATCTGAGAACACCACTGAATAACCATTCTCATTGAGCTGCCCAACAGATATGAAGTTTTTCTTCAACTCAGGAACGTGTCTGACCTTTTGCAAAGTCCATTGTTCTTGTTAGGAAGTGTAATATTAATGTCTCTCATCCCTACCACGTCCAGAGCTTTTACGTCCAGAGCTTTTCCATCAACTCCATCAACCAGATATATCTTCTCAAAGTTATCTGCAACATAATTTCGCATTAACTCCCGACGGGAAGATGTATGGAAGGAATCTCCTGAATCCAATATCCAGTTATCAACAGAACTGTGAACTGTCAGCAATAGTGCATCTTGTATTTCTTCAGATACAACATTAACACCATCATTCCCCTTCTTAGGATTTCTGCAGTTCCATTTTATGTGGTCAGCCTTGCCACAATTCCCACAATTCCAGCAATTCCAGCAAGTTGTCTGCTGACCATACTTTGATTTTGATCTTCCTCTGTTTGAGTTTCTGTCTTGTGATCTACCCCTGGAATCAACAATCAGTGTCAAACTCGAATGCGATGTTTCGCCATAATCTTTTTCTGCGCACTTACTTAGTCAAAATCAAATCACGAATATCATCATATTTTAGTTTGGATTTACCTACAGAACTGCTAACCGCCATCCTTATGACTTCTCAACTATTTGACAATGATGTCAACAAAATCAATGCATGTATCTTATCATCAAAATCAATTTCAATAAACGACAATTGATTTGTGATAGTATTAAAATCATTCAAGTGTTGAGCAACAGTGACACCTTCATCCTTCTTCAATTTGAATAACTTCTTCATCAAATACATCTTGTTATTCGCCGATGGTTTTTGATACATACCTGATAAAACCTCCTTGAGATCTGCAGTAGTCCTCTCCTTGATGACGTTATGGGCAACCGATCTCGATAGGATTAATCGAATAACTCACAGAACCTGTCGATCCAACAGATTTCATTCCGTCTCGTTCATTTTTTCGGGTTGCTTTCCCAGTAACGGAAGATGAAGTTTCTTCCCATAGATGTAGTCCTCTATCTGCATTCTCCAGTGAGCAAAATCTGTGTCATTGAACTTCTCGATCCCCGATGTCATCACTTCGTCTCCACCCATCGTACTTTCTTAGATTCGAACCAAAGCTTTGATAACAGTTGTTGTGAAAAACGACGATAATAAAGAGAAAAATTGAACGAGAAAAATTGCACGTCGAAGAAACACCAGAGCGACACAGATTTACGTGGTTCAACAGATTTACCTACTTCCACGGAGCTGCAAAGGATTTTATTTTTTCGAAGAATTATATCGTTGAGCGTCTCGACGTTTACAAGAAAATCTCTATTTCTCTATTTTCTTCTCTATTTTCTTCTCTCCCTTCTTCTCTCTCTCTTCTCTTCCTCTCTTTCTTTCTTAGAGGTCTTGGCTTGGTCTGACTCGGCTTGTGGCTTCATGACAAGTCATAAGAGACTATTTATAGAAACTAGGAGAGCGGTAGGTGAGTGTGGTAGGTGAGCGGTAGATGAGATTCTTAATTAGAAAACTAATTAAATTAAGGTGGACCAGATCTCCACATTAACTAACACTTCCATCAATCTAGTCATCCATTATCACTAATGAAATGATGGTCCAACATGAATTTCAGCATTTCTTGAGGCTTTACTCCTCGGTGAACCCGAATATTAAGAAAAACCTCAATCAAGCGGCATATGTTTATAAATGCTCCATTGCATTCCTTGCCAAATTACTGAAATGCCCATCATCCATTTTTTATAAATACTCCTCTTTCCAGCAGAGAGGGGTGATAAAAGGTCCTTTCTTTCTTTCATTCATATGGAGCATTGATTAAAATGATTTAAGTTTTAATTTACCTTCAATCCTAGTCATGAATTGAAGAGTTTTCAGAGGGATAAAATTCCCAAGTTGGCATGCTTTCTGAGCAAGACACAAAATTGGGCCTACATATTGTTATATTTCTTCTATTGATGATTAGATCTTTAAATTTTGATGTTCATATCACTTGGCCCCACACGGGGATTTTTTTTCTCTTATAAATCTATTATCGGAGGATATGCTATTATGGACAACAATATTGCCGATAAAATTGTTGGGCTAGGGACAATTTAAGTTAAGACATATGGAGTTCTGAGGACTTTGGAGAGATCAGACATGCACTAACATGGAAGAAGAACCTTATATTTATGGATTGTTTATGCTCCAATAGGTGCATGCACATATTATGTAGGTTGTTTCAACTCCCATTGTTTCGGATATCTCTTCTAGCAGGGAATCCACTGTAAATACGTTTATTTGGTGGTTTTTTATCCCTTTTTTAATTTTCTCTAGCCATGATTCCATGAAAGAACTAAGGGTTGATACCTAGATGAATGCTTTAAAGAGTAAACGTAAAACTTTTATTGATAAAGTTAAGGAATGGGAAGAGGGCTAACGAAAGAAGAGAAAAAAAAGCATGAATGTGAGAATAATTCAAAATATCTATTTGTGGAGCAAAGACATGTTTGTTTCAGTCACCCAGTGGTTACACTTGGAGCATTTGGGCTCTTAGTAGTTTATCACTTATTATATACTCTTAAAAAAAAGAAAAAATTAAAGAGGGAAAAAATCCTCTCAATGTTATAAGAGGAAGAAAAAAACCTTGGAACTACATGTCATGAGAATACTATGGGTCAAAAGGACTAAATATAATTGATTACTATGAAAAATATATAGAAGAATATGGAGTTCTTCCCTATAACTGTTTCAATACAATTGGTTTTCTATCATTGGTAGGTTGACAGAGGGCAGGGTGTGGTGCCTACATATTGGTCTATGTGAAGAGTAGGAAGGAGTGACGTAGTTGATCAGGAGATCAATGACTCGGGGAAGCATGTGGATGAGTTGTTGAGGGGGTTGGAAAGCTGAAAGAAGGACTCGTGAAAGGTTTATTATGTTTTCAAGAGGAGCCCGTGCAGAGAGAACTTGAGGCCAAAAAGAACCATGAAAAGGTCTCAAGAAGACACCAAAGGGTCAAGAAACTCTGAAATCGAAAAAGATTATTGTTGAGTGGTTATGATACCGGTCTAGCACCAAAAATCCACAAAATTGGCATCAAATTTTGTGTCAACACCATGAAATTCGTAATTTAAAACTATGATTTCTTATAATTAAAGTTCCTATTTTTTATTTTAATTGGCATTCCTTACTTGTATAAATTGATGTAAGAAAGAAAATAGCATCTAATGATCATTGTTCTAACCTTGGGGATCTGAAGAACCATAGAGACTTTGAAGAGAGGCTATGGAGTAGGTGTGATAGAGCGGGCCACAGGGGAATCCAGAACACACATTCTTCCTTTATTTTATATATTTTCCAAGTGCTTTCTTGTTAATAAAACATGATTGTTTAATAATCTAGAAATAGTAATTCAAATTAGCAACCCTACTTCATACATGGCCGATGTCTTGTTGCAGATAATGGATTAGATTCTTGTATGAGTAAACTTTCTGTATTTTGCTGCTCCAGAATCATGATCTGATATAATCTTTACCATTTTTCTATGGATATTTAAATTATAGGATTGATGACCTAGGCCTTTTATGTAGTATTAGCAGAATTAAATTGGCCAAGCAGAGTAGAGCGAATGGCAAGTGACTGCTCAACTACTTACACGCCCCTTCAGTAAAGTTAATCATTTTCGCATGACTTCCAACTAGGTCTCATGTATCTTAGTGTTGAAGGGAAATAAAAAACCCACATAAATGCAAGTTAAAGCAGCAGAAATGGGTATTTTAAGATAGATGTAGGTTAGAATTAATTTGGAAAAAGCTGAGAATAATTATTTAGGAAAATGAGTGCACGTGTTAGCTTCCGTTAGGTATAAGTTAGTGAAAAAAGCCGACATGATTTAGGCTAGAGTGAAGAGGAAGCACCAATAAAGTGGGAGAGATGGAATTAATTTGAATTTCTTAAAAAGAAAAGTTGATAGGCCACACCAATGAGACTCCGCACATGATGAATCTGGGAAAGGATTCACTTCGCCTAGTTGTAAAGGAGAGCATGGTGATAAATGATTTCCACCAATTTTTTTTTTGGATATTTTTCTTTTTTTTCTTATATGTTAATTTTGATTACTGATTATGCAATGACCAGACAGTTAAGCCCTTTTATGTGGTTTCTAATGATGATATTCTAATTGTGAGATGTACTTTTCTGCAAATATTCCATCATACACCTGTTTACATGTTTTGCTTCTAGGATACTTATCATTAACTAGTACAGGCGAGCAAATTTCACATCTGCTGACATGAGAGAATCTGATTTTAGCGGCTCCACATTCAATGGCGCCTACATGGAAAAGGCTGTAGCTTACAAAGCAAATTTTTCTGGTAATTAACCTGAACTAACAAGTGGGGATAGTGCTCAACTTATGTTTACTCTTTGAAAATATTCTTATCAATGCCTCACAAGCAAAAGTTCTCGGTTTGATTTCCCGTTCATATGTTGTTAACAGAATATCTTTATTGTTTTAGTTTTGGTTTTAGTTTTTGCTGATTCAACTTTAACATAATTGCTCCCCATTATTACACGGTTGACAGAAGATCTTTAGTGGTTACCTCTACTGTTTATGGGTTCAGCAATAGTCTTCTTTGTTTCATTATTCATTTACTGCTTTAGAAAATGATGCAAATGATTGTCCACTAACATAGCTGTCATCTTTGTATGTTTTCTGTATCTCCGTGTAGGTGCTGATTTGAGTGACACTTTGATGGATCGCATGGTAAGTACAGCCAGTCCCGTGTAACGTTTTGCAAATTTTAGGTAGTCCATTTGTTGTTCTGTGCCTGGCCAGGAATATGCTTTTGTGCTTGTTTTGTTTTCATTTCCTTGATGTCCTTATCTTGTTAATTCTTTGAACAGTACTGGGCTCTTCATGCTCACTTTTTGATATTACTGTAGTTTCCACGTGATAAAACTCCTGAAGCTATTTTCGAGAGTATGCATACAGTATTTCTTAAATACTCCATAACCTACCTAAATGCATGGATTACAGGCATATTTACTTGTCCCAATGTTTTAATTGGTGTTAAAATTTTTATTTTGGTGAAAAACATTTAGTTTATTATTTTTTAGATTGGTGATAGATTATATAGTTTAGGGGATGATATTACAGGATATAGTATACAAAATCTAAAAGGTGGCATGATTGGTGCCTGGGGTATGGGTTTGGATAAGCAGAGGAACTATGTATTAAGGTTGCCATCAAGTTTTAACTAACTGGTATTAACTGAAGCCATACAAAAAAGCATTTAATGTTGATTTAATGCCTTTGTTAATTTTATTGCACATGAATGGAATTTCATATAACATGATAAATTTTATGGCAGGTACTTAATGAAGCAAATCTCACAAATGCTGTTCTGGTGAGGTCAGTTCTCACCCGCAGTGATCTTGGTGGAGCGATTATTGAAGGTGCTGACTTCAGCGACGCTGTCCTGGACCTTCCTCAAAAGCAGGTGCCTGCAAAGATACAAACCATCTTTAGTATTTTCTTCTATGATGATTTGTATACTTGGACATATTGGGCTCATTTAAGTAATGATTCATAAAGGCTCCTCCCTGAAGTTGTATTCATAAAGGTTCCTCCATGTGAAATATTTATAAGATCACATAACTTCGCATGAGATCCATAAGCTCAACTCATGTGTAAAGGATGAAAGCTGCTATTTTTGGCATGAGATCAATAAGCTGACTGGGATATAACATGATCATGAAACTGAATGATTGTTGTACGCAGGCTTTATGCAAGTATGCAAATGGGACAAATCCAATTACGGGAGTGAGCACAAGGAAGAGTCTGGGCTGTGGGAATCCACGCCGGAATGCATACGGGAGTCCATCTTCTCCCCTGCTCAGCGCGCCACCACAAAAGCTGCTCAATCGGGATGGATACTGTGACGAAACTACGGGTCTTTGCCAAGCAAACTGAGCGAAAATATAAATATACCGTCTCACATGAAAATGTGCGTTCGAAAGAGATTATTTTTAACCATGGTTCATCACAGTGCATCTTTTTTCAATTTCTTTGTTCCCCTACGTAGGCTGCGTTCCACATGGTGGTCGACACAATGTATGCATGATGACATTATTGTTATTCAAGAGAAATATGTTCTGTTTATCATCGTCAAGATGTCCATTCCTAAAGGTGGTAGATATATACATGCATAAGAATTGAGTAATATGTATGTAAATTTAAGTATTTTGTTGCATGTTCTTTCAATGCATAAACACAACTAGTGTGAGAACAAGGACACTAATTTCGAACGTACAACCTATAAATGGAGAAAAAATTTAAGTATGACGATCACATGTGGAGTAACATTTGGACATCACTCGAAAATTGATAAATGAACGATATATAAAATATATTTAACTATCTAAATAGTGGAGAAGCACGATCAGATTCGACATATTAGTTTAATTATAGTAGTTTCATTGCACATAAATATTGTGTCTGATTTTCAAAAACCTTTTTTCTAGTGTTATAATTCGGTTGGCTTCTTGTCAGGTAAACTATATCCGCTCAGTAGTTTAAATGCAATATTTTAGATAGTGCTCTCCACCAATTTTTATTGCTATAATACTAATTTTGTTGTACTAAAAGCATGGTGATATTATGTTAAAAATCTATTTATTTGTTGTTACATGTTGTTTATGATATTTTAGATATTATTATTTTCAGTACAACATGTTATAAGATGGTGGTGAGACATGCAATTTAGATATCTTTGGTGATCAAATTAAAATTTTAGTAGTAGTAGCTCTAGTGACAGAAGTGTGACTTTGGGTGATCAAAGTATTAGAAGGTGTGAACGATTTAGATATCTTGAGATCGTTGATCAAAGTGATGGTGATATAGATGGGGATGTTAATAGTAGAATTCAAGTTGGTTGGTTGAAGTGGAGGAATGCTTCGGGCCTTTTGTGTGATAGAAAAGTA